CGGCCGCGACTGCTGCCCGGCGCTTGCACAATCGCTGCCGGGCGGGCGGGGTCTCCGGGTGCGGGACCGGGAGGCTGCCGACGCCTGCCTCCTGGGGAGCCCGGTTTTGCCTGCCTGGACTGAATTTTCTTCCGGGAAGAAGGTTGACTTTCTACGCCTCCCAAGGTGGGGGAATTTGAGTCTTAATGCAGCGCATCGAAAGACGGGACCTCCGGGCTTCACTTGAGCAGGAAGAACACACTGAATTTGCAGATGTTCCTGCTGCTGCATTTCTGGTTGTTTTGAAGATTAAATGAATGAATGCATGTAAAGCGACAACAGTCAGTAAAGGAGTTGCCATGGTGGCCTCCTTAGGGAGTTACGAAACGCGCCTTGAGAGTAAGGCCGGCGACAGCAGCGCTTGGACTCAGGCTGGGCCACCTTCCGCGTGTGCTCCAGCCCTCCCTCTTCTTGTACAGCCACTGCCTTGTGCACAGGACGGGCACAGCAGCTCCAAACCCGGCCCCCGAACCAGCCCTACCCAACCCCGGGAAAGCCCGTCCTCAGCAAGCACCGGGACACACACACGTGCGATTTCTCGAGTCATCACAGCTGGAGAGAGGAGAATCCGCTTTACTAATTCAGGAGAAGTGGGAGATTTTTGTTCATCGTTTTAAAGGGGCTCATAATCTTTCATAATGGTCCAGAACAAAACTACCACCAGCTAGGGAGGAGCGGAGGCACATTGTTTTCTCTTCCTGCTTTTTTGTCACGTGACTGGGTCGTTTAGACTCGAGTGTTGGCAAATCCTTCGCCGGTAATTCTCCAGTAAAATTTTCAGTTTGTTTCTTGAAGAGCATTTACAGGCCTGGCGCAGTGGCTCACGCCTATAATCCCAGCACTTTGGGAGGCTGAGGTGAGAGGATTGCCAGAGCCCACGGGTTGGAGACCAGCCTAGGCAACTTGCGAGACCTCCTCTCTACCAAAAAAAAAAAAAAAAAAATTAGCTGGGCATGGTGGCGGATGCCTGCAGTTTCAGCTACTTGGAAGGCTGAGGCCAAAGGATCGCCTAAGCCCAGTAGGTGGAGGCTGTGGTGGCCGTTAGCATGCCACTGCACTCCAGCCTGGGCGACGGAGTGAGACTCCAGCTTAATAATAATAATAATAATAATAATAATAATCTGACTGGGCTGGGTGGCTCACACCTGTAATCCCAGCACTTTGGGAGGCAGAGGCAAGAGGATTGCATGAGCCCAGGGGTTTGAGACCAGCCTGGGCAGCTCGGTGAGACATCGCTACAATAAATAAAAAAATAGCCAGTCATGGTGGCACACACCTGTGGTTCCAGCTACTTGGGAGGCTGAGGTGGAAGGATCACCTGAGCTCAGCAGGTTGAAGCTGCGGTGGCCGTGAGCATGCCCCTGCACTCCGGCCTGGGTGATAGAGTGAGACTCTGATTCAAAAAAAAAAAAGTATTTACAGTCCAACTTGAACACTATCATTTCAGAATTGTCTTAGAGGGCTAGTGACTATTTATGTTAATAAAAATAATAGCTATTTATATACATTATAGCTTTTATATAACATATTATACCTATTTATATAGATACTCTATAGTATGTATGATACATGTACTATAGATCATATGCTCTATGTACTATGTGGATTCCATATATTATATAGTATACTATATATACTATATAATACTATGTGTGGACTCCATATATTATATAGTATACAAATGAAAGCTTTCTAGGGCTTATGATAAGCCAGGTACTAAGCTAGACATTTTGCATCAATTTTCTTATTTGGTTCTCACCTCAGCCCAATGCTAGAAATATTAAATAAACAAAAAGCCAATTAGAAAAAAACCCCTGACACTTAGCTAAATAATTTGACCAATGTCACAGACCTTACTATTGGCTCAGGTGAGATTTAGACCCAATATTTTCTGATTCTAACCTGTGTCCTAAATATATAAACCCACATATATCATACTATGTTATATCACCCTTTTTTTCTTTCTTTTTTTAAATATGGGATACAATTCAGAGTTAGGTACATATGTGGTCATCGTACAGGTAAAGTGTAGGTACCCTTATTGATGTTGTGTGCTCTCCCTCCTCCCCTGGCAGTGTCCCACTACTGCCAATCCCTTTCTTATAGTATTATGATAATTGTTCAGGGTCCACTTATGAAAAGGATCATGTGGTACTCAGATCTTTGTTTCTGTGATAAATCACTGAGTATTCTAGACTCTAATTCCATCCAAGTTTCTTCAAAGTTCATGATTTTGTTTTTCTTCATGGCTGCATAATATTTCATTGTGTAATGTAGCCCTTTTTAAAAATCCAGTCCACTTTTGATGGGCAGCGCAGTTGGTTTCATGTTTTTGCTGTTGTGAATAATGCTGCAATAAACGTGTATGCAGGTATCTTTTTCATAAAGTGATTTGAGTTCCTCCAGGTATATTCCCAGAAGGAGGATTGAGGGGTTGTATGGAAGGTTGATTTTTTGATCTTTTAAGAATCGCCAAACTGTTTTCCACGGAGGTTGTACTAGTTTACACTCCCACCAAGAGTGTAGAAGTGTTCCCTTTTCCCTGCATCCTCTCAAGCATCTGTTGTTTTTTGAGTTATTGATGATGGCCATCCTGACTGAAGTTAAATGGTATCTCAGTGTAATCATCTGAAATTAATGCAAATTAAAATTTGCATTTCTTTGATGATTAGTGAAGCTGAACATTTTTCCATTATCTGTTGGCTGCTCGTATATCTTCTGAGAAGCGTCTATTCATATCTTTGGCCCATTTTAATTTTTATTTATTTATTTTTAAAATTGATTTATTTATTACAAAGATGTGGGGTACAATTCAGGGTTAGGTATACAAACAGCGATCATGCAGGTACCTTTGTTGATGAGGTATGCCCCTCCCTCCCCTAGCAGTTTCCCTCAACTGTCTTTGGCCCATTTTAAAAATAAGGTTGTTTGTTGTTTTCCTTTCAGCATGTTTGAGTTCCTTGTAGATCCTGGATGTTAGGCCTTTGCCAGATTTTCAGTTGGCAAATTGTATCACCTTTTCTTTTTCTTTTTTTTTTTTTTTTTTGAGTTACAGTCTCACTCTGTCGCCCAGACTGGGGTGCAGTGGCCGCTCCCGGCCACCGCAGCCTCGACCTGCTGGGCTCCGGCGATCCTTCCACCTCAGCCTTCCAAGTAGCTGGAACTAGAGGCGTGCGCTACCACACCTGGCTAATTTTTTTGATTTATTGTAGAGATGAGGTCTCGCCAAGTTGCTCAGGCGAGTCTCAAACCCGGGAGCTCAGGCAATTCACTTACCTCGGCCTCCCAAAGCGTGGGATTACAGGCTGAGTCACCGAGCCCGGCCTTCTCACCTTTTCTTAAACAAGACTATCTCATAAGGTTGAAAGTATTCCTTAAGTGAGAATCTCTCCAAGAAGAAGGAGCGTCGATCTGAATGACTGCCATGGCAGTATGTGTGGGGCTGTGTGACGCAGATGTTTGATATGCTGGTCGTGGTGAACAAAGACAGCCCCAAACAGAAGACTTACGTTGTCCACCACTAGGTGCTTTGCTTCTGGTACAGTGCTTGGACACAGTGAATGGTCTTACTGTTATTTCAGCCATTGAGTTATTTTCCCACTTTTTCCTTCTTTTCTATCCCTTTTGGCAGGTGTGCTCAAGAAAAAAGGGAACTAATTTCAGATTTGCCAGGTTGTCCTATGAGTTTAGGACTGTATGGTTTTATATACTCTAAACCGATACTTAGAAGTACAGGTAATTGCTAGTTACCTCATAGCCAAAAATAAAATTCTTATTTCAGAAAAATTGATGCTTCATTTTCTTTCTATTTATTTATTTTTTTGAAGTCAGGATCTCACTCTTCCACTCAGACTGGAGTGCAGTGGCACAATCATGGCTCACAGCAGCCTTGAACTCCTGGGCTCAAGCAATCCTCTTGCCTCGGCCTTCCTAAGTGCTGGGATTTCAAGTATGGGCCATGGCAACTGGCCTCGTTTCTCATTTTCCACAGGGAAAATATTCAATAATTTTTATACTGGATGGCAGAGGCTTGTCCTTTGGAACTTCATAGATTCTAACATATCCCCATCCTTGACAAGCTCAGTTGAATTCAAAATGACTACTTTCAGCCCACCTCCAGAAACTCACTATTCCTCTCTTGGCCTCATCCCACATTCCTACTTAGCCTCTATGAGTCAGCAGGACAAGGATCATGTTGGGAATTACTAATGAGAGATCTTAAAGTGCCTGGTAAATGTGTGCCATCATGACTGATACAGGCCCTGTGTTTTGTTCTGGGAAGTCTTACCAAGTCCTGGAATGGATAATTACACTCCAGCCCTCACAGCAAGTGACCACAGATGACAACATGTGTGTCTGTG